GAGCGTCTGAAGACACTATTGAAGGAAGATGGTCGCCAAACAATTCGTGTATTGGCTGACTATTATAATAACTTAATTAATAATTTATTATTGCAATTATTGCTTTTTGTTCAGAGAAATCTTTGTGAAAAACTCTACGAACTTATGTTACAACCTAATAGTTGTATTTAACAAAAACAAAGATACAATAACAATCACCGAATTCTGGGTCCTTTACGTATAACCTTCCCGCCCGCTTTCTTTCCTTTTAAGGACTTTTTAAACTTTGCTGGTACCTCTTCTGAGTCATCAACGTCATCAATACCTCTGAAAGGGTACAGTTCAAGGCACGTCAATCCAAGACAAACACTAAAAAGTGGAATCGAGGATGTCCTACCGTTTTTTGCCTTTCTTCTTCCTCTCTGCCATTTCTTTTATCTCCTTTACAGCCATTTCACTTGCTTCTTGCGTTCGTTCCACCAGTAACATAACATCTTTTTCTACGCAGGGATATTCAGTCAACTTTCTTCCTAAAAAACAGCAATCGGCTTATCCGACATATTTTGAAATCCATTCCCCTACTTCGAAAGTTCTTTGACACACCTATATGTGCTTCAATCTTCTGGTATACTTCAACGTCATACTGCGTGACAAGAGTCAAGGCAAGTCCTGCTCTTCCGGCACGAGCAGTACGACCCACCTGAAAATAAGACATAAGAATCAAGCTCGGTAGCAGATTTACGACTGAAGCGAGTTTAATGACTAATGAGGACTACAAAAACCATCTCAGTAGCAAAACACAATAAGTTTGCACGCCGAAGTAAAGCGAAAAACGGAAAGTCGAAAAACAGGCAATCAAATAAAACAGAATAATTCAAAGTATTACCCTGTGAATATAGTCTTTTGACTGAGACGGCACGTCGTAGTTTATGACAAGATCAACATGAGGAATATCGAGACCTTAACTAGTACTATCAAAATTAGTTTATCACAACTACGGCATTAAGATAAATGCTGAGAACATTTCAGAAATTCATACTGTAAATTTGAAACAAATAATTTTTGTGTGAAAGTCAACGAGACGAGCATATGGTGAACAAACAAGACCCACCTCTTGATGCAACATCGGTGCACACCAAAATATCTTTGATTTTACTTTTAAATTTGTTCAAAGAACCCAATCGTTTTTCCTGAAACAATGAACATTGCGTTTACGACGCTGAATTGCCCTAGAAAGACAGAAACTGTACCTGTCCCATATGTCCATGAAGAGGAACCGCTTGCATTCCGAGCTGCCTCAACAACATTGCAATCTAAATTATGTTCAAGCCGAGAATAGAGCATAAGCAGTTTTGATAATAAAAAGCTTACCTGCATAGCTCCATTGCATGTTGCACAAAAAACAATTGCAGTGTTTCCAGCTAACTCATTCAACAAATATACAAGATATGCTTCCTGAAGGATCAGAAACAGCTGGTTAAGAACTAAAAATTAATCTGCAAGAAAAAACTTACTTTGTACTTAAATGGAATAAAAAGGTAGTGCTGCCTCAGTTTATCCACGGTTTTGTATTTGGTAGACACTTCCACTCGAGCGGGATCTTTTAGAGAGGCACGTTCCAGCTTCGCCACCTGAGATGATGTCGATTCGTAATGCAATTTTAAAAAGCAGTTCACCTTTATCCCTCAAATATGACATAGTTCTCAAAAATTGCTTTTGACTTGTTATTCTGCATGCAAGATACAAACTCAAGAAAAGCAATACAGCAAGGTTCAAGATTCACTTCCTCAATTTCATTACGCTTCAATTAATGCGAATTCGGAAGAAGATTTGACAGCTACGCGAGCTTCATCGACGAAGGAAACTTCTCAGGTTCGGTATGAAGAATACTGTACCACGTTTTGCTTCTACCGAAAGATCGTCTTGAGGCACCGCTTCGTATCAGGTCTGACGAGCATTTTCATCTTTCAGCCTTTCAACTTGCCCAATGGTGATGGGGCCGCTGCGCTAGAGGGCAGGGAAAGCGTTTTCCATCAGTATTCTACTCGGTTTGGGCTGCGTAAAATTTCACACTACAACAAATGAAATCCCGGCAATCTTTGAGTTCAAAAAATACATGGGGAATCCACGATAAGTATCAAAACTTTGAGCGGTACAGATGGTAAGAAGGGGAAGAGGTAACAAAGCAAAACATCCTATAGAGTTCTTAACAACAAAAAAAAAACACTTGCCTTCTTTGTCATTGTGGCAGAAAACAAATATGTCCGCCTGTCCTTCGGAATAACCCTAAGAATTTTGTCCAGTTCGACCTAAATTTGAGTAGTGTTTGGCTTTCCTTCTGCACTCTACGAATCAAAACCCGAAATACCTCAAAATCCATGTTGAGAATCCTATCGGCTTCATCCATGACAAGATACTTGAGTGCTTTGAGATTGAAACCTTTGGTATTTTCTAGGTGATCAACCAGACGTCCTGGTGTAGCTGGACAAAACAGAAGTTTAATGTGGCATTGTAAAATTCGAATTGGTAATTTAAATTCAAGAAAAATAGTTACCAACCAACAATGATATGAGGCCTTTTCGCGAGAGCGAGGGCCTGTGTAGTCATATCTACTCCACCAACAATGACAGCTGAAATATAACAAATACCGTAGAACTACTTGACTGCACAAAAGTCAAAGGAGAAATAAATACGTATTTACACCGGACACTTATTTCATCACAGAGAAACTAATCGCTCGCATAGATTAAGGTATAACGTTAGTGATTACCGCTAGAGACTTTCAAATACCATGGCTGAACTATGACAACATTTCCTCATAATTTGTATGAAAATTTTATCCTCTCCTTTTCTTCCTTAATACGAAAAAAATTTCTTTGACGGTACTCGTTTTGTCGAATATGCATTTTTGAAATACGTCTGCAAGTTTTTAGAAGTTCCCACTCCCTTCTAACCTCCAGAGAAAATAGTAAGGGTAAGCAACAACCTACGCTAAATTGAACAAAATTCAAAAAAAAAATACAACAGATAGTGAACACGCACCAACTACCAGCCCAATGCCAGCACCAAGGGCCTCAAATTGTTGTGCTATTTGGAACGCAAGTTCTCTAGTAGGCGTGAGTACCAGACCAAATAATTTCTGCGGTGTTTCGAGCAATGATTGTAAGATCGGTAGAGCAAATGCCGCAGTCTTACCAGATCTGAAAATATGCTGCATAGAACGGAAGGGATAAGAAAAATAGACTTGTAATGAACACCAAGGGAGCCCAGCGAAATTTAGGATGTATTGACAGTCAACTTCAGGAAACCAAGATAAATTTTCAGATCGAATTTAAAAACAATAAAAAATTTAAGAAACGCCTCCAGCTATTGCTTAGCTGCCACATAGATGCACTTGAATCAATCAAAGTTCGTGGGCACCCCATGCTTAGAAACTGAAATTCATGTCGTCAAACAAACATTACTTACCCGGTTTCTGCTAATCCTATAACATCTCTCCCACTAAGAGCGTGAGGAAGAGCGGCAATTTGTATTTTCGTTGGGGTTTTCCAGTCCAATCGATCACATGCCTCGCAAAGTGCGTCACACACACCCTTCAAAAAGTTTGATGTTAGAATAAGCATGTCCTAGTTCAGTGGATCGATCTATTTAGAGAAATCTGTTTTCAAAATTATGCAAAGATTACAGGTTATAAAAAATCAGCGTAAGACTGGCGCAGAAGGCCCGCGCCCATCCGACGTCGACAAAAAGACCTTCGTTCAGGAAAGAAATAACCATACTACTTGGAGTTCATATGAAAATTAAGGACACGTTAAAGTTCAAACACTATGCCTAATACTCAGAAGATTGGAGCCGTAATAGTAAAATGGTACAAATACAGCGCTAATGGGAAGAAATCATTTTTTTTTTTTTGAAGAAATTTTGTGCACGCTTCAGCAAAGGAATTCTGAAGGTGTTAAGGGACTTTTTAATAGTTCTTCGTTCTAGAACACAAAGAACGATATTTTGGCATGCCAGAGAGCGTGCGAATGGTTTGCTAACGATCGCTTCTTAGCCACTTTTATTACAACGATTCAGTTGGATTAATCTTTCTCGAAATTTCACATAAAGTCCGACACTTTTCAGCGTCCATGACCCGTGAGCTGATCTAAAGCATCGGAATACCACCAATATTCAAAGTATCCTCAAAAAACTGAAAACATCACAACGAAACTCACCAGTTCTCTGAAGGTTTTTGAAGCTTGCTCTTCGGGTGAGTTGTCCTCGTTCTCTTCAGAAGAGCCACCTAAACTTCAACAAATGTAGATACGATACAGTATAAGAAATAATGATTCATTAACCAGCATGCTGCTCCTCGTTCTTCAAACGATTGGTAGGCTTTCTTGCGATCTTCTCGATCTCCTCGTCTTCCGAACTAGACGAATCCGACATCTAAACCGCACAAGATTGTTTGAAAAGAGATTCCCAAAAAATCTCAAACTGATTGTATCGCACAATATTACTACCAATGAAACAATCTAATTCGAAGTTGCGACAAAGATTGGTGTAGAAGACGAATCTTTCGTGTAAATTACGAATTCACACGATAGCGAATCTGAAGAAATGCGGAAAAACAACGGATGCAGAGCGGATGCAGTTCTGGCAGAATGTGACTTTTCTAAGTACGAATTCGATTTCTTTCTTTCACTTTCTAAGGATATTAAGTTGCACCAAAGTTTGTACAAGTTCTGATACGTCTGTGTATCATATCGATAACCAAGACCAATACTAGCCAAAAAGTTACATAAAGCACTCCCAGATCTCAAGGCATAATGCACGCATAAATAATGGAAACAAACAACAAATTAGAGAAACAATATAATAGTCTCGATCAAGCCGTGTATTTACGTACTACAGGATTTTAGTGTATTCCACAATTACACAAACTTCATTGGGAAGATAACATTCGTGCGATTCGAACCGCGCGCGGCGAAATTCTTAGCGATTTTGACGACTTTAGTGCCTATTATTGGGACCCGAAATTAAAGTGGCTGCTTCCATGGTCCGTCGGCGAATCGGCGCGCCGCCGCTGACGAAAAAAGAATTAGTTCGTAGGTAAGAAATCTACGTCCGCTGCATTTTACTTCACAGTCAGAACAGGCCAGAACCGTGAAATAAAATACAACGGACGTAGATCCCTTACATACGATGTAATTCGTTTTACGCTAATGCACCGGCGCGCCGGCTCGGTTGCGAGCGGCGAAACTCGGACAATGCAACGGACGATTGCAGCGTTCGTTATTGGGGCCCAAATTTGAAGTAAAGTAGGTTAGTAGGATTGTCCGACACTACCAAAGTACTGCTCTTCAAGTTTGTGCCTCAATGATAGGCGCAACAGTTGTTTGAATCATCGCGAATTTTGCCGCGCGCAACCGGAATCGCACAAATCGTACGTTCCCCGGGGACGGAACATACATGCGTCCTAGGGTGCGCATACTGCGGCCAAGATGGTGGCGATTTGAACGACTTTAGCACCCATCATTGGGACCGAAATTTAGCTGACTACTAAACTATTCTACTTCAAGTTTGTGCCCCAGTAATAAGTGTCGCCACGAAGTTCGAACCGCCACGAATTTCGCCTCGCAAATTGCAGCGCGCATCCTCGGATGCATGTATCAGGGCCGCGTAGGTCGTAGTATTACAATCATCGCGAAGTGATGTTCTGGGAGAAAGTACCACATCCAGTTACATATCTATTATCAACCCGAATTCCTCCCGCTGTGTCAGTGGGCGTTGAATAGTGGACATTTGAACGGATATACGAGACGAAGATGAGACTTTTATTGAACTGGTGAATAGACAGAGGTTTCGAAAATGATGGATGTGTTGGGATTCGGAAGGAGCTGTTGCGGGTTGACCAAATGAACAAAATTGAGGATAATAAAACCTGAACTTTCTGGTCTTCTTGAGTTAAGAACTGCTCAAATATTTCTTCTTAGTTTGGACAACAATGATGTGTAGGACACCATCACTCGGAGATTCTTAGCAACAGGCCCAAGTTATAGTGTTCGCTATTTATTATGGAAGCATGCAGAGGAATCAAAGAGGGTTGGCGAGCTCGTTTATGTGCACTCCATTCTCTGATGTGAGAATGCATATCAAAGAAGACCCAGAGAAAACGACAAAAGGTGAATCACACCGAACGAGGTTGACAGCAGTCCTTCAACCGCAATGCTAGCCGGAGAGCTGTGAAACCGTCGCTGTATTCCTGCTGCTGCATTCCTATTTCTATTCTCGCACTTCTTTATTCTCTGTTACTCTACTAATTCCTGCTGTCTGGGCTAGTTGACATACCTTCTGATGATACTCTTTAGAGGTACTGATGATGTCTGTCGGTATTTCGTCATCATGTGTGCGCGGTGTGGGCGTTTTACTTTATCATGGCAATAGCGAAGAAGATGAAGATGGGCCCATACCTAGCTAGTGTTTATCTTCAGAGAGGACATCCTCTCTGCAACACATGCAAGATTTGGTTAGCAACTTCTAGGAGGGGATTTTTTTCTCGAAAAAGCTCTGTGATCAAGTCAAACGATGGAACTGATTTCGGAGAGCTGCGTTTCATCGTGAAGGGATGACCCGTATTTAAGCATCCGAAGAATCGCGGCTCTGTTCGGCTTCTTTCGGCTGCTATTATACCTGGACCGAAAAACCTCGTCAAGACAGCAAAGCTTGGTCGATGGACTCCGCATAACTAGCCGACTTATGGCTCCCAGGACTGTCGTGACTTTTAATGACCTCAAGGAAACATGCCCTAAGGCGAAATATGCGAGGAGATCACGACGCATAGACAGTTAAAACTGCAAAACAGTACTCAAACTGTGCGCTCATATGGAAGCCTTCAGAAGGCATATGCACCACGGTTTGGGGCCAAACCGCTGTTAGTGCATAGGATCGATCGTCTCGACAGGCAATCGGCTACCTTCCGTCTCATCAGTCGCGCTTCGCACATATGCTACATCCCGTTACCATGTGTCGTGACTTCCGCCTCTTTTGCTCATCGTCTTCTATTACGGTCGTTGCACTATATCACACGCGCAGAGCAACTCCAACGCTTACTGGACGGTCAGAGTTTCGCACTGGGCCCTACCGCGCAGCTGCACTGCAGCCTTTTGCCTGCATAACGGCAGGCACGAAAAGATGGCCTAAAGAAGGAGGCAGCCTCAAAGAGTCTCGACTAACGCCGCGCACGTCTCGGATGGAGCCTCTACGAGCTCCGCATGGTTCCATATCTTATCTTCAGTATTCCCTCGCTGATCTCGTGCTATTCGTCCGTAGTTCCAGTTCGACAGTTATTTGTATTAACTACTCCACGGGAGGACGAAACTTGCGCAACATCCATCAAGGACCGGCAAGGTGACCAGGATTGTTTCGTGCGGCCACGGGGGTGGTTTACCTTCACCTCCGTTCTCCCTCTGCACAGCTGTCGATTCCCTGGACAGCCCTTGGTGTGCAGCCCGTGGAGGGCGAACCCTGGACCGGTGTGTGGATGAATGGAGTGGGAACTTGCTCCGCTGCGGTTGGTGACCTGACGTGTCGAACGCCCCCGGCTAACGCCACTATGCGTGAGCAGGAGGGTTGACGCGCATTGCCGACTCCCAGCGAGGTGAGGTACCACCGCGGGGGTTTTGTTGAGCTTACCGTTCTGCTTTGGTATTAGCTATAAAACCACTTATTTCTTTTGTCTTGTTGTGTAGTAAGGGATGTTCATCCCCATCATATTTATCCCAAGTAGGAGGGACGAACATTCTTTCCTAAAATCTTCGCTTCTTTATGCACACAGTATATCTTACAGATTTAACATCAATGATAACATGAAGTTGTTATCTCTCTTTAGTCTTAGCTCTTTTGAGCTTAATCCCTGAGGCAATGTTCTAGGGGTAGCGCAGGGTCGTATTCAAGCGCAGGGCCACGATGGTCGTTGTAANCTGCTTTGGTATTAGCTATAAAACCACTTATTTCTTTTGTCTTGTTGTGTCTTGTAGTAAGGGATGTTCATCCCCATCATATTTATCCCGAGTAGGAGGGACGAACATTCTTTCCTAAAATCTTCGCTTCTTTATGCACACAGTATATCTTACAGATTTAACATCAATGATAACATGAAGTTGTTAACATTGATCTCTTTTGAGCTTAATCCCTGAGGCAATGTTCTAGGGGTAGCGCAGGGTCGTATTCAAGCGCAGGGCCACGATGGTCGTTGTAATTGGATAGCAGGGACGCAGCCAACACCAAGGGGCACCGCACAGGGCCGCCAACACCGTTGTAAGGCGAGGATGACATGCGCAGTCCTTTGTGCTCTTCTCGGAAGTCAAGGCGGCGCGTACCCCACAACAGCTTGTCATCGTCTTGTATGGCCCAGTGGAGTGATCGCTCGTCGCAAGTGGCGCAGAGTATCGGAAGAGATCGCGGTCCCCGCAGCCACGTGAGGAACACCCATCCGTGAGGTGCTTCTTCTTTGGGAAGCCCCATACTCGAGCTATAGGATATATACGAGCCCGAGGGAGAGGATTGCGAACAACGCAGAGAAAGGAGGATACTTCAGAAGCGCATCGGCTCACGGGTAAGAATACTGCCCAAGTACAGCTAAATGTAAAGGATGCAGTTGAAAGAAACACCACACAGCGTTTTGCGCATATAATAAGAATGTGGAAAGAGACCTGGACGAAGTCGAGTATGGGGAGCATTTAGAAGACGCAAAGGTATTTATTCGAAGGGTACGCCAGCGCCTTAACGTGCTCTAAGGGGCACGCGGGAGCAAAGCTTAGCGCGTTGCAGATTCAATTTTCGCAGTTGCAGAGTGCTTATGCTACGCACCGTTATTTAGGCCCAGCCTCGCATCTACGATAAAGCGCAGTTGCCTTGAAAATAATACAAGCTTCGACTTCGCACTTTCGATACCTCGCATGCCCCGAAGGGCAACTAAGTGCTTTGTACACGTCCCTTGAGGGAATCGGTGGGAGACCGTTCATTTCGTTTCGCTTGTCGCGGGTCTTCCATGTGCCTTCTTTTTGTCGATCCTAGGGTTCCTCTTTTGCAGTTTGAAGTGAAAAACCTCTCCTCACAAATTCGACCCTTGAGCAGGATTATTCCTGCTCACGTCCAAATTCGCCCTCGTGTCGCTATGTCGCTCGTCCTCACTGGTCTGTCCAACGTCGTCGGGTCGCAGCAACATCGAGCAGTCGCATTCACGCAACAACATCACATGGCTGCAAGTGAAGTCGTGTTATCTCATAACCTATCCTTTATGTATTTTCTCTTGTATAGTTTTACTTGTTATTGAGTTGTATGCATTGTATGTCCCTGAAGGCTTTTAATTCCTGACCCCAAGCTCCTGCACACGTGCGATATCACGGGAACACACGTCGACTAAGGCCTGTCCGTTAGTGTCGGTTTTGACTGGTTTGTCGTTAGTAGGTAAGCGGCACTCGATGCTACCTTCCCAGGTTGGCTTCTTGTCGTTGTCGCCCTCAATGTCGTGAAGCCCACAAATTCTTAACGCCAGGGCTGTCACTACACTGCACACGTATTATTCGACGAGCACTGCCGTCTGCTTCGATTGCCACGTGGCATTGGGCGCCGTGCAGAGTGTGCACACAACATCTTGCTATTCTGCTCTATGTCAAAATACCGCACGGTCGTCTTCTCTCCTCGTGTGTAGTATCTTTGTATTGTCGTCGTCACCGATCGACCTCGTCTACGGAAAGTATCGCAGACACAGGGGACACTACCAAGACAGGATGGAGGGAGGAGAGGCTCCAGGGTGCGAGGAAGAGTCTGGATTGCTAGCTGCCGCCGGGCAGCTAAGTCCATCAGCAGCTCGATAAGGATAGGAGTACCGGGGAGCTTCAGGACAATGGGAACTCGGGGCTGCAGGTGCGCACGGTCCGATCGTAATACAGGCTCATGGACACCGTCGCAGTACATTTCCCTGAGAGCAACGAGTGCCGACGTCCCTGCTTTCAATTTGAATTATAGGATAAATTTACTACCTTCCATGTTCTGATTGTACCGATCATTGGTACAGTAGGTATTAACTTTAGTCGTGACCTTCACGACCTCGAGCAAACATGCTCCAAGGCCACAGGTGTGAGGAAACCATTCAAATGCGAACCAAACCGTTCAAACTACGCGCCGTTATTCAAATCGTGTGCTCAGTTTGGAGACCTCTAGAAGGCGAGTGGGCAAGCCTTTTGGCTCCAACCACGTGTCAGTTCTTCAAAATCCATCGCCTCTTCTAACAGCTCTTCGTTCCATCATCATTGTCATCACTAGACGAGTCCCCCACACAAGTAGCAATTTCGCGTTACGCATATCGTCTACCATGATATACACGATACTCGTCAGGATCTCTCTCTTCAACTGTCCTTTCAGTAGTGAATTCACTATAGTTCCCACATGATGCAATCGTAGATTTTAGTTACTTGTCGCAGCTTGACGGTAAGCCGTCTTGCAAGCCGTCCTACCGTTCCCGCGCGAAAAATCACGTGCCCTAAATCGCGCGGGAAACCACGCTATACAAGCCGAGGGCAGAAACGCAGGACACTCCATTGTACTATCGATCGTAATCTCCGCTACATTCACATATCCTCACATATTCGAAGTGTATGTTACTAAATTACTAACCATTAGATAAAGTTTCGCGACTAAGCGCGATTACTTTTTATAGTTCAATTGTTTTCCTAATTAGATCAGTTGCTTTTTATACTCTAGTTCATGTACTACTTTTCATCAATACGCTTGTTCTACTCTATCTTATCATTATCTTCGGCTCTTTTCCTTGTAATTCTCATGTATTGTGCCTCATTCAAGCTGAATGCTGTAAGACAGTTTTTGTAGGCGTCGTCGAGCCCCTCATGACGCGGCACACTATCTTCCAAAACAAAAGCCCTTGCCTCGTGAGAGGCTCGAAGACGTCAGTTGGAGTTCGGTTTGGTTCGGCTCGGTTGGGAGCTAGGTCNCCGGTTCGTCTGGTCTTTCGTCTGAAAACGCCACTCCGTTGGACGGAGTGCGCATCTGAGTGTTAGTTTGGAACTTTCACCCTCGACTGGGTTCTGTTGGTCTCTGAGACCTATTCGAAGCCAAGTTTGCTCATCGTTGTAACCGGACTGGAGCTGAAGCTCACACTCGAGTCTGATATCCTCGTGGTACCTTCGTATACGCTCAGGTACATAAAGATCGTGAGTTTACCTGTTTGTGACTTGACATAATAAGGTTCATTCCTCTGTATTTTAAACGCGTGGCAGGCAGATCAAGTTAATCGTTTGTACGATTGTAGTGCAGTTTCGCTGGTCTATATTCGGAACTAGTTCATCACCTCATAAGGAGGCGGCTATACTACTATCACATATCCACCCTCTTTATGCTATATCAGCTCCTCTTTAGTTATCTAATTGTTGGTCCTTGAAGGAATCTCAAGTATACTGGTCGCGTATTAGTTAACCGCGTGGTAGGCCCTCACAGCTTAACCCTGACTCCTTCTCAGTGACAAAGAGGAGAGCGTGACCCCAAAGTGAACCCACTGCTGACCAACCAAGCAAAAAGCGCAAAGAAATCCAAGCCGTCCACTGGTCAGAGAGCGGCAGAGGGATTGGAAGCTATCCGTAGAGAAATCGAGATGATGGAAAATATGCTGGCCAAGTACCCTCACAGGCTGATAGTTGAGCATTCCAGAGGCATCGACCCCAAGCTCAGCTGTTCCTTCCGTGAAATGGTGGGCGCCCATTTTTCAGACTTGTGCCCACACGTCGTTGACGGAAACCACGGCTACAAGTAGCTCCATATTGGGGCAGATGTTGCAATCGTATGAAATTTTTTCAATGGAGCGTGCTCAATAAAAAGAACGAATTCTTACTCTGCGAGGAACCCCAACGTCCACCTCACAGCTACAAACAACTCCCATTGGACAATATCTAAAGACAATATTCTCGCGTTAGGACACTTACCAGGCTCATAGCATATAGTACTACTACGAAATTTGTCTTTATATTGTTTCATAGAAGAGGAAATGCTTTGACGGCTCCATTGCTTCACACGGTTTATAATACTTTATTTTGCCTGGTGCTCCGAATAGATCATATTATGCTTCGTATATAAACTCCTGTAGATGATGCTATGTGTCTTGGTTTACATACTTTATGTTCATATTGCGTATATGTTGCGAAAATGGTTATCGAAGTTCAATTACTCATGCTTTATGTACCGTGAACCACACGATCGCACAGGGCTAGCTCATAATAGTGAAAACCTTCAGAAATAAATATCTGGTTGCTGTCGTGGATGGCCCACTTCACGATCTACTACTGAATGGTATTGAATGGATGCTACCGTTAGGACTCATTCAAGCTTGCCCCCATCAGCTCTTTCTCTTCCTGATTTTTACTATTGAACTCACATTGAAGATAAACACCTTCTTTTGTTCATATTGGATTTGTGTTCGCTTACTATTTCATTTCAAATTCAAAGATGCCTTGGATGGTCTAGTCCACGATCGACTGCTGCAGAATTTGGCGGGAAGCCGGATTCGGCAGGGAAAGAGGGTATCAAAGGTACTCAAGACAGATGGCTTCCTCATCCCTCTTTTCATTTGTTAGTAAATCTGTCATTAACTGTTGTTTTGCTCGTGTATTTGTAAATGGTTTAATTACCCAAGTTTGAGGTAAATAAATTGCTGTGCTTCGGCTGTCGTTATGCCCATATCGAAGTCCGCGTGGCAATAGGCATTACATTGACCGCCTTCACCCAGAAATACTCATGCTACCGCGTGGCGACTCGAGAAGAGTTTATAGGCGAGCAACTTACAAGACCTTCACTTATACCGTCTGCTTGTCGTCGGATCACAACTGGCCCCACTGTTTGCAGCACCATACCATTGCCTATTGCGATAGGAGCTGTATATAAAGTGTTCGATGTATAGTCACAACAGGTTAAGCTGTTGCTCGCAATGAAGACTTCACCAAAGAGGAAGCAAGCAGCAAGCAGCACAGGTATATTCGGTTTTACCAGAAAGCTTCTGGTAAAACCGAATATACCTGTTCTGCTGTCTTCATTACCTCTCACCATGTACTCAGTAGGTCTTCCACTTACACCATTACTCCACAGCCAGTTTATATGCAGGGAACATGAGACATCGATTTAGCACAAAAATGAGGCCTCGCATCTCATCCGCTCTTCGCAGGAAAATGCTGCAAACATGAAATGCTCGTTCGCTGGAGATTGCCGATGGGAACCCACCGAGAACAGAGCCAAATGTGAATGTGACACCATGATTTAGGCGTTAAAAAAGAATTTGACCATCTCTTCTTCCGTTTCTTCAGACATCTTCGTTCTCTCAAGCCTTCATTAATACTACATCTGATTTAATTCTCCAATTCTTGCGGATTTCCTGCGTGTGCGGTCACAAAGAGCGGTCGGTCCGTAATCAATGTCTCAGTCGACCCTCAACCTGCTAACCCTCTACACAATGTGCCGAA